GGGGGGGGGGGGGGGGGTTTCCTGTTGTTTTTCTTATTGTTTGGTCATGTTTTTTCCCAAACAAAGCCTACACTTTTTCCTCATTGAGAAAGTCACTGTAACAAGCAACAGACAGAAGGAAGAATACAATCAGGAACTGCAAGACAATTGTAAAATGCTTGTACAAATGTGAAGGCTTACTTCTATAGAAGTTTGTTTTTAAACCCACGACTTCAAGATATTTTTGAGAACAATTAGCAGGAAACTGGAAGACAGTTGCATTATGTGTTTTTGTTGACTCAAGTACAGAGAAAATGAAGAACAGGTTTGACAGCATTGCCTGAATCAGGGATAGGACAGTACAATTACGTGTTACCAGGCTGTCAAGACAAAGTATGTTGATTTTGTTGCATCAGCAAAGCTGTTTACATGGATGCTACTATGAAAATATCAGTGCCTTAGTAGAGGGGGAAAAGGAAAAAGGATTATAATGTGCCTTTCCTTTACTGAGAAAGGCAAAGAGGTGTATGTTGGCAGAGACAGTACTGTGAAAGGGGACTTAGCAGAGGTTTTATGTAGTATTTGTATCTTAGTATTTAAGTTGCCTGTTACTTTGAACTAGAAAGCAGTTGTTGCCTCTCTGTCTCTTCCTCTTCTCTCCCACTCTGTTATGTATGAATAATTACCATTTGAGAAAATCACATCTTCATGGAGTGGTTCAGTGCTGTGGTGTCCAGGGTATCTCATGATATCCATTAATTACAGCACCACCATATTTATGCCCTTAAAAAAAATCTACAAATCAGCTTTCATCACTGAAGAGCTATGCTACATCTGACCCTAGGAAACATAATTTGACACTTACAAAAAGTAGCTCTTGCTCTTAAGTTTTTGTTACTGCATCAAATTACCCATACTATGCCTCTGTGAAGGATTATGGTAAAGACTTGGGGGTTTACTTTGTGTTTTAAAGTTTTTTCCAAATCCCCTTAGGACACTATTTTTCATACATAACATGGAAAATCAGCTGAGAACTTGCTCAGAGAAGTCAGGTGTTGTCTTAGTGATACGAAACAACAGTATATGAAACAACTACAGGTATGGTCAGGGTTGCACCCCAAAGGAAGTATTATTTGAAGTCTTATTTGAACTCAAACAAGGATAAATTATTTTACAGTCATTGACTTATTTTCCAAAGTTGCAGGAAAGTTTAGGGTAAAACTAGTAATGAAAGGAAACTGCTAAAACTAGGGGCATTTTCTAAGTAATAAATTCACAGTAGCTTAAGTAAGACATAGTTTTTCATGTTACTGCACTTTCTTGGTTCACTTCTACAATTTCTGCAACACTCTCATGTGTCTTCAAGTTTGATTTTCTATAACCCATATCCACAAAGTCTCCTTCTGCCCAGACATGTAGGTAAAGCAGGCATAGTGGTTGAAGTCAAATGACTTACAGTAAAAAGCTCAGCATACCAGAGAGCAGAATTAGTACTTCATTTTAGTCCCCACCACTGTGCTCCCTTGACACTTGTAGCACAGTACCAGAAATGGCTCCAGCCAGCTGCTGTTCAGCAGTAATCCAGTTGTCTTGAGACAAGCTACACTGCCTTCAGTGTTTCATTGGATTTCACTTGGGACTCAGATTATTGCCTTGTAAAGCAACATTCTCACACTATTATTGCTTAATTATAACATGCAATATACAAGTATTTGGTAGTCATCAACTCTCACATCTGCTACATAATTTCAGTCATCACTGTACATTAGTGGCTTCTTTGAATGGTCAGAGATTCACCATAGTCCTTCTGGTGTATCCAGTTGACTGGCAGAAACCAACGCAGCAGGTTGTAAAGTCATGGTTAACCTTGTGGCTACCTTTGAGAGAAATAATCTGCATGACAGCAAGAGAATGACTGTGTAAGAAAAAGGAGAAGAACTGTCTTTGGTTGAATTAATTTTCCTAGCAGCAGGAAGAACATGGCTGGAGAACATGGGTCATTTAAAGCAGTAATAGGTGGGATGGAGGAGTAGGAAAGTGGTAAGTTAGCTCTTTGTGGTTGATCTTATAAAGAAATGTCTACTGGACACAATCAATGGCAGAAAAAAAATTACCTTGCCTTAGTTGCCAAAACAGTGAGCAGATGGATTATGTTTCTTTATGTGGCTTTACCAGTATGTATCCTTACAGATCCTCTACTTAAAATCTGCACCTGATGAACAGAGAGGCATTTTAGTTGTCCAAGAACATACTGTATATTGTGCTCTTACCTAAATCTTAGGATGCTGTGGTTGTTCCAAGCCAAGCCAGGATATTTTAGGGGTCTATTCCTGGACAAAATGCGAATTCCCTGGATTCTGCCTGGGCTAGATAGACTGGATTCATCAGTGGATCTGATCAGAATGAGAAGGAGCTTTTTGGCACTTGGTACACAGAGGTTCCAAGAAGCCTTGTGGAAGCAACTCAACCACCTTTCACTATACTCACTCTCCAGCTGTTTACACGAGTGCCTTTGAATTGGGGTACTAGCCAAATGAGCAGACCAGCCAAGCAAGTGAAACAGAGCTGGGAAGGCAGACAGGCATAACAATGTCATTACGAAGTTGTGTGGGCGTTTAGGATGAGTTCATTTGTCACAGAATGATCAACTCAGATAAGATGAAAAAAAGGATATTAGACATCTATTTTTCCCAGTCAGAAAGTCTCTGATGATCTGTGTCTGCAATAGCTAAAGGTTTTGAACAGTTGTTGTTTCTGCCTTTTGCTTAGGAAAATGGAACAGTGAAAAAGATCATTAGCCAGATGACACAGAATCTCCTGATGGCCCTCTCTGCACGGAGCCAATACCAGGAAATCAGGGAGAAATTCCGGCAACCTGTTACTGACAAAGGCACCATCCTCAAAACCAAGCCACAGTCAACTATAAAGGACATCCTGAGTGTGTGCTGTGACCCTCTGATCTTGGCACAGCAGCTGACCTACATCGAACTGGTGAGACACTAATTTGTGTGAATGATTTTGTTTTGTATTTACTAAATATTAATATACTCAGCGATATGAAGTTTGCTATGGCTTCACAGAAAGCCTCCAATGTTTCATTCAAAAAATACCAAGTCAATTAATGGACAAGAACAGTTATGTACACCAATAAACACACCTCACACATCTACGCTGTAGGAAGTTACCAAAATGTTCTTCTGACTTTGGTTTTATTCGTTGTCTTTTCATTGAACTCCCTGTTTGTGTGTACAGTGACAGTCTCTCATCTCTCCAAACACAGGAAAGGGTGAGCAACATTTACCCAGAGGATCTGATGCAAATTGTCAGCCACATGGACTCCCTGGATAATCACAAGGTACAAAAAGGGGTACAGAGGGGAAAAAAAAAGAATAAACAGAGTAAAGAACCTCCATAATTTGTGTATATCCTGTGCAAGAAAGATTGACATTTTCTAACTTTCTGTTAGCTCATGCCTTTAAAAATATCCAGCAAGATTTTATCAAGACATGACATGGAAGTTTATCCATGTATGTTGACTTTATCATGACAAAGGATAGGTTTAACATGTGGCCTGTTCTCTTACAGTGTCGAGGTGATGTGACCAAAACCTATAATTTGGAGGCCTATGACAATTGGTTCAATTGTCTCAGCATGCTGGTGGCTACAGAGATTTGTCGGGTAGGTATTCACAGAAAACAAGATAGCAAAGGGATCCTGGCCTAAAGGACAAAAGGCAGGCAGTGGTCTAATAGAGACTTAAACATTAGCAGTGCAATTAAAGATAATGGCATTACTCAAGCATTAAATTATTTGCATGCTCCTGTGATTAAGAGTTCAAGGCTATGTTTGGCTTTGCATATATTCTCTAATTTTGTGTCATTTCCATAGTAGCATTAGTCATGCAGTGAAATGAAACTTGTGTGGACTTTGAGTTAGGAGCTCTTAGGGATTTTTTATTACATCCGTAAATTCTTAAAAATACTAATCTTTAAATGCTGATTTACCAAAAAACAGATGCCCTTCCACTGCATTTAGATATCATTAGCACTGTCATATATTCATTTTTTAATTCATATTTGTCATGGTTTAACCCCAGCCAGCAGCCAAGCCCCACGCAGCCACTTGCTCACTCCCCCACCAGCGGCACTGGGGAGAAAATCAGAGGGGTAAAAGCTGGAAAACTCATGGATTGAGATAAAGACAGTTTAGTAGAGAAAGCAAAAGCCACACACAAAGCAAAACAAGGAATTAATTCATTGCCTCCCACAGGCAGGAGGTGTTCAGCCATCTCCAGGAGAGCAGGGCCCATCACACATAACTGTTCCTTGGGAAGCAAACACCATCACTCCACGTCCCCTCTTCTTTCTTCTTCCCTCACTTTGTATACTGAGCATGATGCTCTATGGTATGGAATATTCCTTTAGTCAGTTTGGGTCACCTATCCTGACTGTGTCTTCTCCCAGTTGGAAAGCAGCAAAGGCCTTGGCTCTGTGTGAGCTCTGCTCAGCAATACCAAAAACATCTCTGCATTATCAACTCTGTGTTCAGCACAAATCCTAAACACAGCCCCATACTAGCAACTGTGAAGAAGGTTAACTCTACCCCAGGCAAAACCAGCACAATATTAATTCATTATATTCATACAGTTTTCATGACAGAAAAATCAAGAATAAGCTTTTTTTAAACAAAAGTGGACTACTGGAAAGGTTAAAAAAAAGGGGAGAATAACCTTATTAGAGGGTAAATTAACGTCTGGCATATAATAAGGCAAGAACTGGAATATATACTACCCCAGAAACCTCCTTTTTCTTTCTTTTTTTTTTTTTTCTCCTTGTTTTGCATGTGTATTCTCTTTTTAGATTCTTATTAACGTGCACCAGTTCTAGCAAATGGGAAATTTTCTCCCTATTCCTGCTTGGTCAGTAGCCCTTCTGTGGAAATCCAGATACCTACTATGGTTTTATGAGGACTGATATATTGATCCTAATCCCTTACTATTTCCTGCTCTCACAGAAACTTACTACAAAGGCACACCAAGACATCCCCCCAGAGCTGTCTAGTAGGGCTAGTACATCCAGGAAATCAGTCAAACGAAGGTTTTAGCACACCAAGGGCTAAGCCAAGGCACTGACTACCGAACCATTTTCTTTTGATATGACACAGAAACTTAGGTAACAGAGTTTTTCTTAAAAAAAGAAAAAGAACTCCCTAGTGCAGTAGTCTGCAGTCACTGCTCAGGAGCCATTTTTGCATAAGTTAGACAGAACTTCTAGATGTAAACATGGAAAATATTTTGGTAAGTGAATTCAATCTAGAGAGGAATTAATTTTGCTTTGCCATTTATAAAAGGATTTGCAAAACAGATGTTCAGTGTCACTTGCTTCATCCTATGCATGTTTGCATGTGAAGAAATTTGATCATCAGTATGTGTTCTCAAGAGGTCATTGTGGAGTACACACAGCAAAACGAGAAAAGCAGGATGTGGCAACTGCTTTCTCTCACGCTTAGGTTATGTGCCCCAGCCTTAAGTCTGCCCACTGCTTTCCCCTCTTCTTGAGAGGCTTAAATGTTTTATTCTTTCTGATAACAGCATCATGTTACCTTCCTTTTCCAGTAACAGGAAGTTGCTGCACGTGTCCACCTTGTTTATGCAAGATTCCCTAAGACATTGACCTTTGTGTATAAACAAAAACTTGCACTCCTCAGAGCCACAGAAGTAATTGGTGATAGCCCCAAATATTTCTGCTATTTGATTAAAAATTAATCTTAACAAAATACCCTCAGGCCTATATCATTATAACATTTAGCTGGACAAAGCCTTGAAATGTCTATTCAATCAACCTGCTACATTGCCTTTGGCAGGACATACTATCCAAAACTCAGCCCATCCCTCCCCTCTTAACAGATCTTGGATTTTTGCAGGTTGTAAAGAAAAAGCAGCGTACAAGAATGGTGGAATTTTTCATTGATGTGGCAAGAGAATGCTTCAATATTGGAAACTTCAACTCAATGATGGCTATTATCTGTGAGTATCCTTGACACAGATAGCACAGGGCTCTCTATTTTACAGCCTCACTTGCAAGACTGTGCTCACACTTGCCCTAAATTGGCTGACCACATTAGCATGCACACTCTTACAGGGACAATCTTTACCAGTGACAGATTAACATGTGGGTGGGTGAGTTTTTGCTACAACTTCTGACTGTCAAGCTGAAATGCCTTTCAGAGTGTGTGGTGCTGATACATAAACACAGTTATATATTAGCCCTATATTTTTTCAACTCAGTCTCCTGTTACTCTCTCTCCTCTCTCTCTGCATTCAGCTGGCATGAACTTGAGTCCTGTGGCACGGTTAAAGAAAACTTGGTCCAAGGTCAAAACAGCCAAATTTGATGTTTTAGAGGTATGTATAAAGTTTTGACTTTATATATAAAAATCTACCAAATAGTTTAATCTCTGCTAATTATGAAGTCAGAGATCACAGGGGCAATTCTGTCAGGGGCCAGCAAATCTACCAAATAGTTTAATCTCTGCTAAGTCAGAGATCACAGTGGCAATTCTGTCAAGGGCCACCAGCACATAATCGTTAGGGAGAACATTTCCTGAATTTCAGGCTGTCTAATTGTCTGCAGAGAAAAGGGGATGCACATTTCCTTTAGGTTATTTGTGCCCATTTAACGTCCAGGTAGTTCCCACGGAAGGGAATGCTCAAAACTAGTCAGAGTGCGCCACCTAGTGGAGATCTGCGGGAACACAACTTATTGGTCATCAACAAGAGAAAATTGACAGCAAAGGAGAATTTTGGGGTTTTATCCTGAGAGTCGTTTACGATTTCCTTTCAGTCTGCTTTGCTTCAATGGTTAAAGGAATAGATGTAAAGCCAGTTCAGAACTCTCCTTTCAAACAAGATAGAAGTTACGAAAACCTTCATCCAGACTGATGATTATATAGGTACTCTGTCTTGAAAATTTAAAAAGGGGCCAAATGAATTCATAAAGAATGAACTCTGATGGTTAGATGAAAGCTTTTTATTTTTAGGACACATGTTTTACTCGACTGCCTTTTTCCCCCTCCCATAAACACAGCATCACATGGATCCATCCAGCAACTTCTGCAATTACCGCACAGCCCTGCAAGGAGCAGCACAGAGATCTCAGACTGCCAACAGCAATCGAGAGAAAATTGTCATCCCAGTTTTCAACCTGTTTATTAAAGACATCTACTTTCTGCACAAAATACACACGAACCGCTTGCCCAATGGGCAGATCAACTTCAAGGTATCCCTTTGCTATTATAGAAACTGTAATTCTAAACGTTGCACATTGCAAACATTTGCCAGTTTGGAACTTCTAGCTCATTATATTAACAATTCCTTCAGTGTTGCTGTGATCTAGACATTAAGTAGTATCATTGTGGGGGGGAAATGATCTGAATCAAATTTCTGTGAAAGCCAGCAGTTGCTTTTCTGTGACAGAAAGCCATGACATCTAATCAAATTCCAGTAGGTAACTTCACCCTAATTCATCAGCATTACCTCATTTAACATCTTCAGCTTAGCTTGCTATAAATGCTACACAGAACCAACAAATGGTGTTTGTCAGGTCTTAAAGGAAAGTTCTACAGGTTCTGGATTCTCTCTCCTCAATTAATAAACATATTGTCCAAAAGACCACAGCCTGTCAAAAGTACTTTTTAATAAAATTGTTTTGCCATTATTAAGACTGTAAGGGTAAGGGGAGAGGGCACTCAGAATATACAAGATAAACCCTAAGTAATTATGCATTTCTTAAAGTTCTAGGAAGGAAAGTATATCTAAACTTTCTATATGTTATTTTGATTATTTCCTAAATTGAAAGAGTGCTTTATGGAGAAAAAAAAATAAAATCAGACGTGTCTCATTTCATTTAAACTGAAGTTTGCAAATTTAAAAAGTAAAGGAAATCAAAACCATTTACTGTGCAGTTCTAGTCACAGGCTTTTTTAGACAAGTGACACAGAAAACAGGCACTGTTCTATAGGAAAAAAAGCTGAAAAAAGATTATTAAAAGAACTGAAGGCAAAAGACCAGACAGCAGGGATATGCTGTTCTAAATATGAGGGGTTAACAGCACATAAGAAACTAGGAGCAAGAGGGGGAGATGAATGGAGTAGTAAGAAATGATAACAAGGAAGGCTGAGTAAGGGACAGTAGGGGTAACATGAATAAGAGCAAGACTGAGAGGCTTTGAAATTGAAACAAAAGAACTAATATTTGAAATAAAATAAATTTTAATCCTTTAATTACTTCATGCAGAAGTTCTGGGAAATTTCAAGACAGATTCATGATTTCCTGACATGGAAGCAGGTTGAGTGTCCTTTTGAAAAAGACAAGAAAATCCAGAGCTATCTACTCACAGCACCCATTTACAGTGAAGAAGGTAAAATCCTTTACTGAACATTATAGTGAGTCTTCTGCTTGTTGAAATGCAGACAGAATATGCAGATGAAAAATATTAACAAGGAAAACTGAATTTAACAATTATGTATTATCACTTCCATAATGACTTTTGATAAGAATAAATTTCATTATGAAGTTACACCTGCTATACTGTAACCTTTAGATTATTTTTTTCAGTTAAAGAACCCATGTATCTGATTGTTCTTATTTCATTTACTAGCTCTGTTCATTGCATCCTTTGAAAGTGAAGGTCCAGAAAACCACATGGAAAAAGACAGCTGGAAAACACTCAGGTATGAAGCTTTGTAGAACATGAGTCTTTTTGCAGATACACACAGGCACATGATCATCAGCTTCCTCTGCCCTGTTTGCATACCCAGCTTAACAGTAATTATTTTTCCTTCAAAATCCAAATCTGAAAAAAATCAGTGGGATTTGGATTTTGATAACAGCTTTTCCAGCCAGAACTGTTAAGGCTGCAAGATCACTGCCTGGGACTATGAAAGAGAGTATCCTTTGTTTAAGGCTATCAAATACAGTAAAATAATTTACATTTGTAGTAATTTTCAGACACACTTTTCTCAGGGGGATAAATGTATAGACATGCAAAGAAGGTGCTATCATTTATCGTAGCTATGCACTTAAAAATTTTATAAAAGGATGGAAGTGTCTAGTAATCCTCTAATTGTCAGCCTACTCTAAGGGATAGTCTCTATGAACTCTCATCTCTCTAAGAATGCAAAGCACCTCTTCTGTGTACATGGTGAGATCAATTCATGAGATTTCTTCTAATCCTGAGGCCAAGGCAGAGAAGTTTAGACCTTTATAAATAATTTAAAACTTTTAGATTTAGCGTATCTGTACCAGATATAGAATGAGCAAAGAAGCCTGTATGCCCTGAGCTGCAGTCAAGCTACATTGTGACTCTATTTTCCTAGGCAAGACACTGTTTCCCAATGATCCCAGTGTTTCTTAGGAAGTCCACATAAGTTTTTCATTTAGGACACCCATGTCATGTACCTTGCATCAAATCCAACACTATTCAGCAAGCAGTAGTTTAGGATGACAGAGAACATGTGTTATATGCTTGAGTTCATCTTAAGGGCCTAAGGTAATGTTATGCAAGTTAAATTTGCATTTAATTTAAAGTCAGCATCTTTATTGAAACTCACAGATGTATTCCAGTTTCTAGCAGTTGGAAATCTATCCTTTGAAGAAAGGCTTCCAGCTAATGCTGAAAGATAGATCTATTGCCAAAACTGAAAAACTTTTTGTTGTGATAGAAAAGATAATTTTATTTTTCATTACTTTATCTTCTAGGACAACTCTGCTTAATAGAGCCTGAGATTTTTGGATTTGATCTGCAGACTTTGAAGCACATCGAATGAACATGTTTTTACAACCTGAAAGACTTGGACTGAGCTAAGAAAGGCCTCACTGGATGAGGTCTGTTTTGTATATATAGTAGCTTTTATGAAATAAAATGTGGTAAATATTTCACATGTCAACCTTAAGGCACTTACTGAAGGGTTTTGTTTTTTATTTTAAATATAAGGGCAGGGCCCTGTTCTCAGAGATGAAATGTATCATGGGAGATGGTATCCCTGGGGAGATCTTATTCTATCAGCATCCAAATTTTTATTTTTTATTACTTCCACCAAAATAAATACAAATTAAAACACACATCCCAACTGAAGCCAGTGTTCAGGTGAAATACTCTACTGGACCAGTATCTTACAGAACACTCAACATGTGTCTCTAGCTTTGAAATGAAGGATCTGCTTCAAATCACCAATACTGTTCACAGATGTTAGGAAGTGTTTGTAGAGTCAAGGCCTTTGATATCTGCAGTAAGCATGTTCCTCTGCTACATCAGAAAATAGTGCCTTACAAGGTACTGATCTTGTTTAGTGTACCTTATTATGCTGGACTGGAAGTAAAGGAAATAAAAATATGGATGTCTTGAAACCAGCTACAATGTACTTTTTAAATAAAATGGAGAATATGGCACACAAAGTAGAGTATACCTGCCTGTAACATTGATGGTGCAGCAAACCTATTTTTGTTACATGACTTAGAGATAAGAGGGGGTAACTGCTGGGGTCTGTGTGTTTGTATGTGAGTGTGTGTGCGTGCACACATGTCTAAGTTTCAATACTTCTGGGAACTATCCTTTAAATTCTGGCTGTCAGAATAGTTTGTGTTTTCCTTTTGAAAAATCAGGGATTTTTTGTTTTGTTGAAGAGAAGGATGTCTAACCTAGATTATCTCTGCAAAACAGGCCTAATATGTTTTTTTTCAAAATAATATTTTGAAAATAAAAAATGATCATGGGCTAGTGAAAGGGAAGTAAACTCAGATGTCCAAGTTAAGGCTAAAATTTCCAAAGAAGCTTAAGAAGAGTTCATCACCACTCAAATGGTCATTTAATTCCCTTGGTTCTTTTGAAAAGCCTAGTCTGCACTTAGAGAGAATTAAAACAAAGACCAATCTAGGATGTAAGCTTTTTCTAGAATTTTGCAAGCCATGCTTAATTGCCTGGGCAGGAGCCTATTGAAATCTAAGGGAAAACACCATAAGAAATTAGTCCACCCTTGGAGCCCAGGTCAGTGCCAAAATTAGATGTGATCTGCAAACTTGCTGATGCTTGCCATTTCTGATTTCTCCTTTTAGTCTTGAGTTTACATCTAATTCTGCTATCCAAATAAGTACCTGAAGAGCTTATGTTAGAATTCAAGATATTCCTTTCCAGGGAAAAAAAAATGTATAGTACAGTACTTACTTTCTCATCTGATCTCTGAATTAAGAAAAAAAAAAGGCTTAGATCAAAAACTATTTTGTCTAGCAAACAAATAATTACCCACTTCTCCTTTCCAGTAATTGTGCTTTTAAGGCTTGAGGGCTGGTTATAAGATAATGACTTGAGCAAGATAATTAGACTGGAAGTTTTCTTTTTCTAATTTATTTTTTAAAAAAACCCAAGACAACAAAAAATAAAGCCAAAACAAAAAAAAACAAACCCACCAAAATATGAAGTCCCTCTAGAGTTGACAGTAGTTACAGCCTCCCTCATAGAGCCTTGCAGAGGATCTCTACAAGGATTTCTTTAAAAACAACCAGCTCCAGGTAGATGGTGTTTATCTTATTCTGCAAGACTTGCTGGACTGAGGATCTGGTTTATTCCAGTTCAGCAGACTCTTCTTGCTTGAGTGCCTACAACCAAGAGCAGTGCCACTGTTTCACGTGGCATCTGCAATCACTTAATAGAAATTTGCTCTATTGGCCCTATAGTATGGTGAAAAATTAAGAAAAGCTTTCCCTCTTCCACTTCCCCCTTGACAAACACTTAAAATTAGAAGAGTCAGTAGAGGTAAGGAAGGCAGATAAATCAACATTTTGCTATTCCCATGGCATTGACATCAAAGAGTGACAAAAACAAGTTATACCATGAGGAAGGAAGAAGTAGAAAACTAACTGTTGACAAGAACAGCCCAGAAAAGGGGAAGGGATAATTCTTATGACCTGCTGCTATTTTTCCTGTGCTGAAGTACTGATCTTCAGCCCTGGATTACAGTGAGAATATTTATACTGTATTATTACAGTGTTTTGCACTTTCAGAGATGTTCTAGCTAGTAACATTGTTGGACACTATATGAGGGATTGTATATCAGCTTTGTTTATGTAATTGAGGTTTAAAAGGGATGCTTAAAATTTAAGAAAAAATATATATTTGAAATGCAATTTTAGAACACTTTCTGTAAATGTATACAAGAGCTTTCACATGAATGTGCACTTCACGGTCAGTCCAAGTATATACTTGAAATTCATGCAGTATCTACATCGGTTCCTTTTTATTTTCCCTCCCTCAGTTTGATACATTCCTTAAATACAGTGTTTGGCTATTCTGAGCTGAAATGCTAAATATAAAGCTGTACCATAAAGCAGGATATTCTGTGTTTGACTGGATGTGCTTGCATTAATAAAAAAAACCAACTTGCTTCAACCAGGATTAACTTTTTCCATCTTTTTTTTTCACTTGCAAACGGATCAAACCACAGTCCAGAAGGTGAACCAATTGTGGAAGGCAGTATGATCATAATGAACCAGCTGGTTACATTCTGACTTTTAAAGCTATAGAATGAAATATTTAAATATCTTCCAACAAAGGCAAGAGCAACACTAAGCCAACAATATCTGCCACTTGTAATGTGCCCTTTATAATAACATTTTATGGATTTGATACAGTGTCTCTGCTACAGAATATTTTCATTCTCTGTCAATGGAAGAGATTAACAGTTCCACTGTGTTAAAACATTTGTGCCCCAAGAGTTGAATTTCATTTTTTTGCCTCCCATGTCTTTATCCTTTTAGCAGGAAAGCACAGAAACGTTTGCTGGCTGCAGCACACTGCAGGGTTTCCTGTGGCAAGGTTCAGTTGACATTTCAACACCCCAGGACTTTTGGTTGCAACCACTACCCTTTTCATGCCCTACTTTATAGAAGCAAAGCTACTACTCCAGGGTCACACAGAGACTAGACAAGCAGAGAGCTGTGAGGAGAATCCAGCTTTCCTAATGCACTGCCCCAGGGCTACCCACACCATCTCCTTTCTCAGGGATATAAGCCTCAAAAAAAATTAGATCTTGCAAGGGCTCTGGAGGCCCCATAAACATTATTAATGTGTTGAAAACTCTCTAGCCAAATTGTTATGATAACCAGACATCCACAACAGACTCACAGAGCTGAACAGTACTACACTCAGTCATCATAGCTCATTAGAAAAGATAATGATGTTTACCAGCATTAAGAGGATCAAGCAGTTAAGAGTCTTTCTGATGGCCAGTTCATACTCCTAATTAATATGCATATTGCATCCTTGAAAACTCACTTCCAATTATGTCCCATCCAGTCATTAGGATAAATTAGCTATTTACACAGGCATAAGAGTAAACAATAAAATTGCTTTCCAGGCACTTTACTGCCATTAGAGCACACCACAGTATGACAAGCAGTAGCTCAATGCCAGTAAGATAACCTTAGCAGCAATTTGATTTATCAAGTCAATAGTTCCCAAGAAACAACTTTCTTTTAGCAAATAACTCATGTGGCAAAAGTCATCTGAGCAGTCAGCTGAGAACTGACATGACTACATCTTTTGGAAAGAAATCAGTAACTCTTCTGATGATGTGCTGACAGAACTTTCCTCTTCAGTCTTCAATGTATATAATTTTATGAGGGCAACCCCAGACTGACAGCTAACCAGAACAGGCTACAAACAGCATAGGGAAGCACAGTTTTGACTTGGCTTTCTGCAGCAAATAAATAGGACAGTGTGGACAGCGAGATACCTAAAACATAATTTCTAAAATGAAATTGTAGAAAGATTTCATCCAAAGCTGTTAATGCATGTTATCAAGAAAGTTTCCAGACCAGCAAGTATGCAAATACTAGCAATAGTTGCTTTCAAATGCTTCCTGCTGTGCTGGTCCCTGGAAAGGCAGGGATAGCTAGCTGGGTATGCTTTGAGGCTCTAGCACATCTCTATGGGCTCTGATAGAGGTTTCCTGAGAGTGCAGATGTTTACTGTCCTTCACTGCTCCCCAAGGTGGGCCTTAGGCTTTGGAAAAAGAGAGAAACACTTGGGAGTGTAGTTCTGCAGTAATTTAGAGGTACAGTCTAAACTGTAACCATTTTGCTAACGTCAGTAAAGAATTTCAACAGATTTGAACAGTATTTCCAATGCAGTAAGCAAAAAAAAAAAAAAATCACAACTTTCGTGGCCTCTCGATATCACATTTAGCTTTTGCACATACAATGGATGCAGTTGACTGCTGTAAAATAACTTAGGGATATTGATTATTTTCATAATGAAATATTAAGAGCCAATCAAGATCTGTGCCAAGGAGGGAGTGCTGACAGAGTTTCAGACAGATATTCTGCTCTCTGCTGAGAGAGGTGTGATGAAGAAGAAATTCAAGCCACCAGGAAATGCAACATAAATTTAAAATTACCAAGTCAATAAATACACTGTTTCTGATCTACGAGGATGCATACTTTATAATATTGATTACTTAGGCTTCTGACAACTCATAATAAGAAGGAATAATGAAGTTAAAAAAGAAGTTCTGTAAGAAACAGTGTTTGGCAAAACCAGTGTAGAGTTACTTGAAACTATTAGTAGCACCTACCAGGAGGAAAAAAACAACCAAACCAAACCTAAACACACACACACCCCAAAACAAACAAAAAGGTCAAAATCCAGGTCTGTTGCCACACAGAGGATTCCTGTTAACAACCCTACCTCAGCACTGGGCATGGAGACCATTTCACAGGATTAAAAGAGCTGAAAGTGAACAGAAACCAAAGCACCAGTTTGAAACATCCCCACCTAGTCCAGGTCAGGAAAGAAGAAAATTAAAATTTAGTGGAAATTTTCTGTCAGTATTTCTGATTTTACCTAGCTTCTCCACATGATGCAGTTGTCTTAAAAACAATATAATTCTGCTGGAGGCATAAGTCAAATTAGTTGCAACAGAATCTCATTACACAGA